GCTCAAGGGAAAGGACAAGGGTGAGCCCAGCAAGCTACGGGGAGGAAGTGGACACAAAGCTGCCTGACAGCAAATTGCCTGCTCATTTCAATGCACTGGCCCTTGTCTCAGCAAACCTTATTTAAAAGGCAGATACTACTGCATTTTCCTAGCACTGTTAACGAGGTGTCTGAAAACCCACTGCGGTGAGGAAGGACAGGCACCCGCCGGGGCTGAGCGAGACCTGGGAGGAGTGTGCTGTCTTGGTGGAGTGAGGCACAGGTACATTCTACATTCTTTCTCTTCACTGAGGAAGTAAACTAGCGCAACAAAATATTGTGTTCCCTTCAAGTCCAGATCAAAGGTGTTGCAAAACAGCAGTTTAATAAGGTTGCAGGGATGGTGAAGTCTTCTGTAATTTTTTTTTTTTTTCATATCAGAAGGGGTTGACTATAAAATGATCAGAGGTGAGGGCCAGAATAACTGTTGAAAACACAGTGCTTTCAAGTGAGGTGGAAACTGGGGAAGAAAACTCAAGATGAGAATGACCAGCAGTTGGCACTTACGTTTCAATGTGATTTACCAGCAGGACAGGACAATTGGATTTGAGTTGAATGCACCGAGCTCCAGGTGACAGTAATGTCCAGGTCACTGTGCTGTCTGGGGGAGGGAGAGTTCTTGAGCCCAAAGGTGATCTTTTCTCACTTTGTGGTTCTATGGTGGTGTTGACGGCACTGGGCTAAGTAGTGGAAATTCAGACTGTGTGGTATGGGATACATGCATGCAGACTGGAAGGCATGCAGCCAACGGATCCAAAAATAATTAAAATAAGAGTGAGATTACCTTTCATGGACAGATACAAAGACCAACTGTACGCATTTACCCTAAACGACAACAGAAGGAGACCAGAAAGATAATTGAAGGATTGGGAAGATCAAAGGGCAGGAGGATTTGCTCTCTCTGGCACAAGGGTCTAGAATTGCAAAAACCAGAACAAATGATGCTAAAATGCAGTTTGCCTGGCAGAAAAGCTTTTAAAAAAAAAGAAACTATTTTTTTTGGAAGAATTCATATTTAGGGGATGTTTCAAACTCTACGCTTGTAAACTATCAAAAGTGCATTTGAAAGAGAGGAACCATGTGTGGGCAATGAAAGAGTAGCTTAGAGGATCTGCAAGGAGAATACATTTTTACCTACTATGACAACATGACATAAGTTAAAAAGCTCCAATTGTGTTGACCAATCGCATGTGCATTCTACAGGCAGAACCTTGGGAACACAAACTGGACCTCCAGGTTTCTTACAGCCATGGCAGGATATAGAATATCTTTTTGGAGGAAGTCCTGACAGAAGCCTCAAGGAGAAAGAATTTCTGAAGGTGTGAACTCAGGGATATCTGAGAAGAGAGAATGAGAAACCAGGCTGGTGTGGAAAAAGACTGTTGTACCATTTTTTGAAAGCAAAGTTCTGCTAAGTTAATACTGTACTTGATCTCAAGAAAAAAAGGAAGCCATTAATAATTTGTTCAAAAATACATATTTCCATATATTTCATGCATTCTTTCATGCCATTGGGACAAGGAAGAAGGAAGTCTCTAAGAAGTAAACTGCATGCTGATGTCTCAAGGTTACTGGCAGTTAAGGGGAAAGAGCAGCACATATTAAGGTCAAGGCCTCAGGAGAGCAGAGCCTAGTGCAGGAACTAAGAGGAGTCCAATACAGGTGTGAGGCCCAGAGGTGCAAGGTGCAGAAACCCAGGGTTATTTAGAACACAGACCAAGATCTTTGTGAATTATCCCAAATCCACAAGGGGACCATGGGCAAATCTCACATAGAAAAGTAGCATGGTAAAGATTGTGTTTTAGAAAAATCATCTTGGCTATGAGGTAGAAATGGATGGGAAGGGGGAAATACCAGAAGCAGGGAGATGAACTAGGACTTTGTTGCAGAAATCAAGAAAAGAGATAATGTGGCCTGGACTAAGAGAGTGGTGGAAAATCGTGATGGGTCGGAGAAATTAACAAATGAGAAAACAGTTGAAAATGCAGAACCCACAGGCCTTGTAGAGCAGTGGTCCTCAACCTCTTTGGCACAAGGAACCAGTTTCATGGAAGACAATTTTTCCATGGACTGGCGGGGAAGGAGGACAGCGGAGCTCTACAGCCAGGTCCCTAACTGGCCGTGAACCAATCAATACCAGTTTGGGGACTGCAGTTGTACAGATCGATGGGTGGGCTGATGTTGAGGAAGGGACCAGTAACGACGTCTAGGTTTCTCAATAGGGCATCGAGTGTGTTGCGATGCCGTTAATCAAAGGACATCAGCAATGGAATAAGGATTGGGGGAATGTTACAGGGAGATAAAAGTAAGGTCGCTTTGCAACCTATTACTTCGAAGGCTCTGTGAAGTAAGCAAGTTTCAAGACAGCTGCCACAAGCATGACTGCAAAGGCCTGGGGTCCACAGAGGATCAGGTCCAGAAACGCAGCTCTGGGAAGGAGTCCTCACCACGTGTGGTCAATGCAGGCTGGGGAGCAGGCGGATCACCGGGAGACACGACAAATAGTTAACATGATGTTTTGGAATGGCTGATGGCAAACCTTGAGGAACATCAACATCTAATGGCTGGTAGAGAAAGACAGTCCTGGAAAGGAGACTAAGCGGGACACCGAGAGACACAAAGGCAGTCAAGACCTAGGGGCGTGGGGAGGCTTGCTCACAGCTACACCTGCAGCTGACGGTCAGGCTGCTATTTGCCAGATATTCTACTGGCCCCCAGGTTCAAGTACTGATGTTGATCGCTTTTGTTTAATTCCTTCCCCTCCAGTTTTGTGTTGCATCCACTGTTTACTTTTAATTGTCTCTTCCTTGTGAAGAAGATAGTGTAATAACGTCTGTTTTTGTAAATGTAGAAAGTAGGAGGCTGAGAGTTTTAAAAGACCTGCCTTAGTTTGCAAGGCTGCTAAGTGGTAAGTAAGGAATTGAACCCCAAACTTCGGATTCTTAATCCTAAGCGGATGTGAACATATATCAGGCAGCTACCGAGTTGAATAGAACCCATCTGTGCCTTCAGGAAGGTTCCGGTGTCAGAGAGGTGATCTCAGAAAATGAACTGAGGGATGTGCACGCCACTTCTCTATTCAGGGGCGATATGCCCATGGGTTCCCATTCATGAGTCTGCACTTTTGAATGGGAACAGCACCCTGCTTGTGGGAAGAAAAGCAAAGCGATAAGTTTGGGAAATGGTTAAATCATCAAGTCAGCATTAGGTCATGCTTTTTTTTTTTTTAATGGTCCACAGTTTCTGGCATGTTTATTCATCTCTTTCCATCACGGCTGTAAAAACCAGGCTGCCAAGCCCAACCAGAGAGTGTCCAGGAGACCCTTGCACGTATCCTGTACTGGTTATGGCCCCGGCCGGGGAGCAGGCAGGCATTAAGTGGCAAGAAATGCTGGTATAAATTATTGTCATAATTGCTTTCTGGAAAATAACAAATTTAATTCCCAGTAAAATGTCATTAGAATTTGCTGGGTCCTTTGATGGGGAAAATAAAATGCCCTTCCTAGAAATTTCTCATGCTCTGTGGTTTCCAAGATATCACGGAGACTCTGCAGAGAAAGATAATGCCTTGATAAGATTTTGGAACCTGTGTTAATTTCCCTGCTCCATCAAATCTGTGTGGGGCTCCTCTTCAACAGACAATAAACTGCAAAGCCCAGGCTGATATATATATATATATATATATATATATATATATAAATTTCTATAAGAATAATGAACTGTTCTAGAGTCACTCAGCCTGGGTTCAATCCTGCCACTTAATAGCTGGGCACAGTTGGGCACCTTATTTAAGAGCACAAAACCCTGATTTTATTTTATTCTATAAAATGAGGCTAACACTAGAATTTTACTCATGGGTTTGTCAGGCGCTTTCTAGAAGTTAGTCCAGGTTAAGCATTTAGCCTTGTGCGTGACACAATAAGTATTACCAACTATCATAACACGTTTACTGTTTCTTCTTCTTTTAGCTGATAACACTGCAGCCAAGATGTTTTACTTAAATAACCCTTTCTTCTGCACCATCACTTCCCTTCTGAATTGGCTGAATTGCTGTAAGTAGAGGGTATCTTCGCAAGGTGGTTTTGTGTACAAGCAATGCCCGACAGCGGCTCAGGAGTCATCTCTAGAGCTGGGGAAACGTCTGCGGCCCTGAACTTTGCGGGGAGAGGACCCCCGAGTTGAACCATTAGGTACCGGAGTGTACAGCAAGAAGACTCAACTCCTTTCTTGTGATAATTGAAATCATTTCAATTCATTTCCTTCTTGGTTGGACAGAAACATGTTTTCAGCAGTGAGCAAATCTTGAGGGAATCCATTGACCTGAGCAGTCATATAATGTGTGAAGTTAATGGACAAAAAAATGATATTCATCTCCAGTTTATAATAGCAATCTCGTCCTCGGCGCCTAAACTTCGGGGTGGCGAGGGATGGTCTCGGAGCAGTGACCGCACCACCGGCAGATGCACGACCTTTGTTGTGTCTAACTATTATTGGATCTATGGCGAAATAAAATAAAAACCAACACAAGTTTTGACACTAAGATAATAAATTATAAATTATGGAAGTCTACGCCACCGAGGATCTTGTAAACAACAGGCTGGTCTCTTAGCAACAGACCACGGAGAGCAGGTTGTTGGTAGGAAGGGGGCAGACAGGATTGTTCTGCAGTGATCACTCCCAAGGACCAGGAGCTACATTTTAACACCTGCTGAGGCCCCTTCTCCTGCCCAGCTCTTCTTCGTCCAGGGGCCAGTCCTACCTCTGGGCCCCAAAGGTGCCCTAATATTTAAATGCCTCTGCCCCACCTCCCTAGGTGACCCAGCCCCAGGGAGAAGACAAAGGAAATACAGACAGGAGGAGTTAAGAGGTGGGGCAAGGATGTCCCAAGTGCACGTCGGGAATTAGAAACGCGAGGGGGGATAAGTACCTTTATTTTTATTTGACATCGTCTGAAATGATAACTCTAAATGAGGGACTCCTTTCTCCCTGCCCCCAACTCCCTTTGGTTTGTAAAATCTCACTGAGGGTGGTTGTCATGAAGGAATGTAGACAAGACTTTGACAATGTGCCAAAATGGTTTATTTTTAAATGTTGTTCCCGAAAGCACCAGAATATTAAGTTAAAGTGAATGTTGCTTAGAAGAGTGTAGGGGTTGAGGTCACACAGCCTTGGAGGGAAGGGTAATGGGCTTTCAGGTTTGTTCACTTGAATTAGCAGAGACAGGTGGACTAGAGGATTCGGTCACCTGCAAGCCTTGTTAACAATGTGTGTGTGTGAGACCATTTGCGCGCGCGTGTGTGTGTGAGTGTGTGTGTGTGTGTGTGTGTGTGTGCATGTCTCAGTCACAGGGCGTTTGCAGAGTCAGGGTGCAGAGGGAGGTTTTCTTTAATTAATTAGCTGTTTACCTCCGGCACCATTCCTCAGTGGTTTAGACAATCACCTGCCCACATGTTAGGAAGGAGATTTGATAAAGTCTCTGGGAGTGGAATTTTCCTAGATATATCCTAGGATTCTTAACAGCAAATGGACCCTCTTTCTGCGATGGAAACAGCCAGTTCTGCGTTATCCAAGCCACAAGGCAAGCGACGTGCCATGCCAACTTAGGCTATTAAGGAAATACCAGCCCCCTAATTGCACGAGGGCCACATGGCCCCCATCTCCCTCCATCCTACTGACTTCACACATTTTATTGTTTCATAATAAAAGTGGCTGGCTCAATTATGACTACTTGTGATTTATTTGGCATGTCATTTTAAACTTTTCATATGTATAAATTTGCCATTTGAAAAGAAATAGAAAATTCTCTGCCATTCCCCGGGGCCTCATTTTTTTTTTTTCAGGCTCCTCTGATAACATGAACAGAGGCTCTGTGACTTCCAAAGTGATTAGCTCCCTTCCAGAGGTTTCAGAATATATTTGTGCTCAGGAGCAGTCTGCCGGGATGAAATTCTATCTGGGGTAGTGCCCTGCACCCATGGGTGAAGGCTCTGGATTTGTAAAACACCTCTCAGGGCCCCCGGGTACAAACTCTTGCACAAACACATCTCTAGTACCCACAGCTGTGCTGCAATGAGGCTCCGGTACCCCATTCTCCAGATGGAGCCATTGAGGCCCAGAAACATCAGCCGACTTCCCCAAGCTCCCTGCCAGGGCCAATTCCATTCCAGGACAGACTGGCTTCACGGTCCATGCCTTCCTCGCCACGGTGGCCAGCCCTGGAGATCATCATCGCCAGACTCCGCCCAGGGTGCCGTCTTTGCTGCTGCTGTTGCTGCTGCTTCTTTTCTTAATTACCAAAGAAATACATCATCGTGGAAAAATCAACAATACACAAGATACAAAGTCGAAAGGCAAGGTCCACCCTCGTTGCCCATCCCAGCCGCCCAAGTACCTTTAGAGGAGCTTTACAGAGCTGAATTTTCACTCTGCAGGGTGGTGTTTCTGCATACAAAGAACACAGCCCTTTCTTTCTCTCTAACTTGTTAACTGGTGCATTTTGAGGACAGAAAAAGGGACCCAGGCCTTGGGTGTGTTTTAGTTCCCCTTACTTGCCCCACATACTGTAGAGAAGGCTGAGACCTTTGAATTCTTTCCTCCTTCCTCCCTGACCGGGAATCGCCAAGATGTGCACCCTCGAATCCACAGAAGTCCGAGTCTGGAGTTGTAGTTTAGAATTTAAGCAGTTCTGGTGAGTTCTTATCCTGGCAGCATGGATTCTCCCCTTTCCCTGGGGACAATCAGCAACCCTCATTTTTGTAAGACCCCCCCCCAGGTGACTGTGTGCATTGCAGGGTTTGAGAAACCTGGCGCTGGCCTCGGCTCCTCTAAAGAGAAGACCCAGAACAGTCGACAAGGCGTCAAGAGAAGCCCAGACTGACAGCAAGGAGCTCGATGGAAACGCGCCATTAGACAGTTGGCCCCAACTGCTGCAGGAGAGCAGAGAACGGCTTGTCCTGTGAGGAGGCCTGATTTCAAGTAAGTGATAGCAGGGCCGTCGGGGACAGCCTCCCACCTAGCCCCTTGAAGCCCTGCCCGGCCACCGAATTGGCCCGACTGGCCCTGTACCTGCGTTTCGTGAGAGCTGGGGACGGGGCGCAGGTGGAGCAAGGCCCAGCAGCTGTCCCGTCTCCTGCTTCCCGGCGTGGCTGGGTCGCGGGGCTGCCCCCTCCTCGCCCCGTGCAAGCTCGCGCCGGTGCAGCCCCTCCGGCTCCGGCCCCACAATGCCGCGCGCCGGCTGGCAGCAGTTCAGCCGAGGACTAAACAGTTGGCTCGGGTTCAACGCGGCTGCCAAGATTTGGCAACCAGAGAGTTGCAGGGAAGCAGCAGGCTGCTAAACCCTTTCACATTTTTAATTAGATCCACACACCCATGTCTTTGAGCTATCATAAATATACAGATGACACAGAGAGTATTATTCAGGGTTTAAAAAAAAAAAAAATAAAAGGAAGCGAACCCTACCAAGGTGCAGCTTACCTTATTAAAATAACGTACCTATCACTAGTCTGGGGGCTGAGGAGGAAAGAGAGAGGGTCGTGATGTGTGCTTTAAGGAGACTACTTCGGGCGAAGAATCTGCCCAGGATCCGGAAAGCACAGGCCGCCTTGCTGTCATCCTGGCCTTCGAGGACATCGCCAGAAGAGGGCATTCTTGGCAGCCGCTCAGCCTCCTGCAGCCCAGGACTCGCAGGGTCGGGAGTTGGAGGAGTTCTCCTTAAAGCCACCCCCAGCTCCTTGGCTTGGGGACACACTTAGCATTGCCACCGAGCTGTGATGTTTGCTCCTCTGCCCTAAAATGAGGCAACTTACATTCCACGTCGCTTGAATATTTTTGTCACTTTATCCTCTTTTCCCTTTTGTCTCTGGGTATCATTTGCTGGAAAACAATTACTGCTGCTTCTCAGTTTTCTAAATCCTGCACTACGGCATGCTCAGCTTCCCCCAGCTCAGAGCCCGCCTTCTCCCTGCTCTCGGCTCCTGGGCCAGTCCTCAGCCGGGCAGGGAAGGACATTCAAACCGTGAGTCGAACAGGCCTGGGCTCCGGCGCTGGTTCTGCCGGGAGGCTTCGGGCACAGGAGTGTAACGCCTTTTGCCCCGGTTCCTTCATCTGAAAGATTCCAAAACACCTCTGGCCTCACAGACAGGCTCTGGGCTTTAAATCAGATCACACGTGCAAGGTTCCTAATGCGGCCAGCACCCAACAGCTAGTGTTTATTACGATGATCATTATTGGGGATGTACGTGACAGGGCATGTGTCACTGAAAAAATCAGCCGGCAAACAACTCTACCCCCCAAACAACAGAGTTGGCTTCTCTCAGAAACCGTGCTCCCTGCCCCGTCTCTCCTGTCCTTCTCGACAAGACCGCCCATGCTCCTCAGACAAGCCACCCTCCTCTGATCAACTTGTGGCTACGGGAGAGTGAGCAGGGCCGGGCCAGGCCCCGCTCACTGCTGTGCATGCCTTTAATGCTAACGACATTTTGAGAAGGAAATGAAACACTTGAAATGCCAGGAAAGAAGTCTCTCTGGCTGTCCCCTGCAGGAACACAGAGTGTGTAAGTAGAACCATCGCAAGCATCAAGCACGCTGCTCGGAGACATCAAACGCGCACACGTTTGTGTCGGCCGTTTCTGGTGAACAGCTTGCACACCCTCCACTTCATCCCGGAGGAAGCCGGACCTGGTTGTGGCCATGCCTCGGCATGTGGTCTTCTCCCAGTCCTTTCCTTAGTTACTTTTCCCCGTATGACTTGAAAATAGATCATGATTTACTGGGGTAAAATTCCCTCTGTACTTTTCCTGCAAACAGGACAGTCGGACAAACCGGGGTGACCTGGTCCAATTCAGCGGGCTGGGGATGACTCCAGGCCCAGCGATGCCACCTCTCAGCAGGTGCCATTGCTGGGAAGAGACCGCGGCTGGAGGGCCTCAGCATTCTCCTCTTTCCCTGCAATCCCTTTTGCTCCCCAACACCTCACTTCCTCCCCACCCCCAGCTTCACGGAACTCCCTTCAATTAGAAGAGAAAGGACACAAGCTGCTCACGCACGCGTGCACACGCACGCACGCACACACACACAGATCCTGAAACAGAACCGCCCAGAGGAATGTTCCACCTGCGAACGGACGGCGCCACGATCGCTGCCACAGCCTTGCAAGACAGAGCATCCTCGGACCCGGGCTGCGTCCCAGCTACCTTCGGGGTCCTGCTCAGGCTTCAAGGGGAGTGTGAGTACGAGCTGCTGCTCATTATTAGCTATTTATACGAGAGGCAGCAGCTAATTTCCATGCGAGTAATGCAATGTTTAATCTGGATAATGCCCTCCCTGGAGCCAAAGGTGTCAGGCTGAAGCCGGTCCCGTTTTCAGAGACATCCATCACCGCCGGCTGTGACCCTGCCACGCACGTGTCATCCCGTGGATGCATTGAAGGGAACAGGCCCCGCAGCACCCTGACCCCTGTCCTGTGCCTGGTAGGGTGGAAGAGTGGAGTCAGGGGAAGGAATAAATGCGCTTGATATAGTTAAGGCCATACTAGTCTGCTTGGGCTGCTGTAACAAAATACCACAGGCTGGGTGGCTTAAAAACCACAGAAATTTTATTTTCTTGCAGTTTTGGAGGCTGAAAGTCCAAGATCTGGGTTCTAGCTGATTTGGGTGCTGGTGAAGGCTCTTCCTGGCCTGCAGACAGCCACGTGGCCTCCTTGGGTGCACATGCTTGGGGAGAGAGCATCCTGGTGTCTCTTACAAAGACATTATCCCTATCGGATCAGGGCCCCACCTATATGACCGCAATTATTCTTAATTATTTCCTTAAAGGCCTCCTTTCCAAATATAGAAACACTGAGGTTTAGGGAGTCAACATCTACATTTTGGAGGGACAGAAATTTTCAATCCATAACAAAGGCATTTTGCATACTATTGGGAGGTGCTGGAGTCAGACTTGGATTCTACTCACTCTGCTGTCCATTAGCTGTGTGGTCTTATGCAAATCAACTAACTTCTCTGAGCCTTCCTCTCCACACTTGAAAAATGGGGATAAAAATGCTTTCCCTAGAGTGTGGTTTGCAAAGAATAGATGGGATAATGTATGCACAGTGCCTGGCCCAGGGAGGTATTCAAAAAATAGCAACAGCCACAGTAGTTGGTAATATCGTTATTTATTATTTGCTTGTTTACTTAATATCATTATTTATTAACACCGTCCAGATAGCTTTGTCTGACATACTGCCTGAGAGCTTTGCATCATAAATGTTCTTTGTGCCGCTTGTGTCTCTTACCCTTTCTCACCAAAAGTCAACATGGGCCAGTGAAGCTCACAGGAAGTGTATGTAACAGTTTGTGACAGCATCTTCCATGGAGTCCAGAGGAAATAAACTTGCTGGCTCCCAGAGGAAGGACCATGAATGTCCATCATCTCTTTAGTACTAGAGCATTTTCATCAGTTGTTGATGCCGTTATGCATTACCACTATCATGACAACCTCATTTGAAACTCTCGTTTAAAGCAAAAGTCCTGCAGGAACAAATAAATATAGCTATTTTGTACTTCAGGAGCCTAAAGTTGAGGCAGCCAAGATCACACTGCCAAGAAGTGGTAGAACCCAGGGTCTAACAAATAATTATGCAATGCCAAAGGCCATACCCTGAGCTTCCCAATACTGCCTCAGTCAATGATTGCCATAATACTGCTGCGTAACAAACATCCCAGCTCAGACGTCTGCAACGTTAAGTATTTAGCCCCATGCTCATTGGTCTCTAGGCTTACTGTGAGTCTGTTGAGCTGGGTTTGGCTCAGCTAAACAGCTCTGCTGCAGGTTACAAGTTGCCTGGGAGTAATTTTAAGCTGCTGCCTGGATTCATGTCCACTCACAATGTATTTTTTCTGGAGCTCCAGATTAAGGAGTGGCAGCGACCGTAGGCACGTGACAGCACAAATCTAGAGACGAGAAACGACATCTAAGGCCCCTGATTGCATCATGCTCCTGTGCATTCTAGTGGCTACGTCAGACCACATGGCCAAGGCCAACACCGGGGGTGGGGAAGTAAATCTATGCACAGTAGCACTGGGGGTGGTGGTGAAGTTTAGCTGAAAAATAATCCAAACTATTAAGAGTAGCCTGCAAATAACAGCAAACAACCAACCAGAATAGCATAACCACCACACATTTGATCAGCAGGATGCTACTTCCCTATGTGGCCTCTCTAGTGGTTGAGAGTGACAGCCAGCATTCATTCTGATAGGCCAAATGTCAGTCCTGCTCAGTTAGTGGCTTTTATATATTTTAACCACTTCGGGACCATGCTCACCGGAAGCAAAACCTCGCCCACAGCCGGCACTCACAGTCCGCACGGTAGTCTGTGCTGTGCATTGACCACCAGTCCGTTTTGCTCTTGTGCGATGAGGAAAGCTTGAAAGCACTGAAAGCTTGTTTCACTTTACAGGCAGCTTTACCTGTCATGTAAATCAGAACAGGTAACATATGCATGTACGTTTTCATTACGTTCTTTTTAAATGTTCACAATTTTATTTTGATCTATGAAAAATTAGCAAAGTCATATCACGGCTGTTGGCTAAAGTCGCTGTGCGCGTTCATCTGTGGCTGTCGACTATAGCTGGCGCTCGTACCTAAGTGGTTAGCTATCACCCTGATCATCAGTGTCCAAAATGGTACCAGAAACAATAACCTCCCAGGGCACGAGACCACCTGCACCACTAAAACTCCTCTCTGAAGCCCCACAGTCCTCACGGCAGGGTCCCAGCCCTTCCAGAACTGTGACGTGGATACAGGTGTCAGGGTGAAGGGTGTGAACCCCATCTCTGATGTGTCCCCCAAAATGGATCTTAGCCAATGATGTGAGCTCCCTGAGACTCAGGCCCTCAGTGGGGACTGTCACGGTGGTGCTGTGAAACGTGAACGACTTGGGGAGCGGAATTCGGCTAACGCAGGGCCACCGAACGATTCCTCTCTTACTTTTGTTTTACTACGAGATTAAACTTTATGGAATTGTCAGAAGTAATTCAGACGTTGGCAATTTCATATAGTTCAAGCTAACAGATAATAAAACCCCGATGGGCCGTTGTGTGCTTCGTTTAGCTCCATCCCTTGCCGCTCTGGGCAGTGAGTGGACGCTGGCTGCTGTAGTGTTCGTGCCGCGGGGAGGAGCCGGCGGCGGAGGGAGCGCGTTCCCTGCTTGCCC